TGTCTCATTTGAAAAGATATGTCTGAGAATCGAATTCTCAGTTACTAACAATTAATTCAAACTAACTTCATAACTATTACCCTTGTAAAAAAAAAAAAAAAAGTAGGGGTTAAGCAGGGTTTTTGTTGCGCCGCCACTTCATATGTTGAATTTTCTGAGTGAGTTTCTTTTTCAGTGAGGTCGAACGGGTTTGGATAGATTGTACCAAGCTATAGTATAATTATATTTCAGTACACCAAACTCTTCTCTTTAGTTTTTTTTTTTTTTTTTTTTTTTTTAACAAGGTAATGGTTAAAAAGTTTATATAAATTAATTATTAGTAATTGAGGATTCGATCCCAAATCGAGTAAACATTTCACTCCTTCAAATGAAACGTGCGGACATCAGTCCGCTTTTAATAAAGTTCACGATAGTGATAGAGGTTGAAACTTCGACCACCTCACCCAATCACTCATCTAAGCACTCAAGACTTGAGTTGGAACCATTGGGCCTAAAAGGCCGGCTCTCTTAAGTTTATACATTAGTAGTTGGCACCATTTATGGGTTTAATTGTTAGTAACCTAGGTGCTTGGGTTATATATAGCTTTCTAGGTTTTGTGTATGCCTGAGATTTTTCAGATCCTTGGTTCTCCGGAATAAGTTCTTGACAGGCTTTTAGGCAATTATTGTCTTCTCTATCTTCATTTTTTGGGGGCTTTGCAAACATTATTCACACAGTTTGATTCATTTCCTCGCATTGAACTTGATGGCTTAGGTTGTGGATCTCTCACATCTTGGGCAAATAAGAGGTACCTTATTTTGTGCTATTATATTATTTCCATTGAACTGAAATCATCTTTGGAATTGTTATTTCAAATTAAAGCACCACAAAAGATGTCATGCTTTCTTTCCCTTGGAAATTCCTTTTCACCTTCTTCACTCACCTCTAATTTTATGCTCTTTTTCTTGAGATTAAATCAGTGTAGATGATCGCATTCAGAGTTTTCTTCACAACCAAAGTACTGTAGCTTTTGAATGCCTCCAAGAAGGACAGGTAGGTCTTTAGGGATGTAACTTTCTCTGATTTCATTTGTAGCGAAAACTTCTATTTTTATTTTACTTTACCTGATGCATCATATGGAATTTTATTGATAGCATTTGGTCGATTGAAATCAATAGGGATGTGACATGGTTTTTGTTACACCAAGAGCAAGGACAATAGATATTGCTCATGCATGGATGATGGTAATGCCTTTTCTTATTTCTCCTACATTTTAATCTGCTTTGCAGTGTATTGATTCAAGTTGATTTGTTAACTTCCTGGTCTTCGTCATTCACAGAGAAATGCAATTCTTTTGATCGTTTCACCAATGACCTGTCAATACATGACTGAAATGCTGAATAAGTATACGCATCAGTCTTCTTGTCTTTGATTCATTTGGGCATGCATCTTTGGTGTTTCATTATAAATATCATTTTGCATACAAGTATGCTCGCACTGTCGTCCTGGATGGCTTTGTCAAAGGAATCAAAGTTTTCCCTCTCAGGGAATGTGTCCCAGCATTTAGAGGATCACAAGTCACAACATTATATCCAACTACATAACCTTTACATGCTATTAGTCGCTATGAGGAGAGAGGAATGCTACTCAGAGAGGGGACAGGTTTTTGTTAACTATTCTTAGTTGCTTTCCTTCTTACGGTCCAACAAAAAACAAATTAAGCTGATTATATTTGAAATTTGATTAATGTAGTAAATGCACAAATCTTACATTATTTTCTGTTAAGTTGAGCTGAATTACCCATTTTAAATGCTGGAAAGCTTCTGAACTTACTAAGCTATCAAAAGAGAAGAAAAGGATAAAAATGAAGTTAATAATTTTTAACATGCTTGCTTATGGTACCCAGCCATTCCCTGTAGGTACATTTTTTTGGCTGACAAGGTAGAGATCCAAGACATTACCAAGCAGACTTGCTTTTTCGCCCTTGCAGGTCCAAAAAGTGACCAAGTAAGGGAATTTCTAATAAAAAAATTGTGGTTGATTTTTGTGTTTGACATTGCTCTGGTGCTAATGGTTTTGATTTTGATTTTGATTTGCAAGCATGTGATGGATAATTTGAATCTTAGTGATCTTATTGGGCAACCATATGGCACAAATCGACATTATAGTGTGAGATTAATTGATTTGTAGATTCATTTGTGTTTTAAAGTAATACATAAGCTTCTTCTTCTAGAAAGGAAGAAAATAAGAGAGTAATCAAATCATATTGTCCTTTTTATTATAAAAACTAAATGTTACTCATTTTCATTACCAGGTGAATGGTACACCTATAACTGTTGGGGTTGGAAGCATCATTTCTGAAGAGGGTTTTTCATTGTTGATGTCACCTGCCATTACTGGATCACTTTGGAAACACTTCTATCTCAAGGTGCCATTCCAATGGGTTCCAATGCTTGGGAAAAACTAAGGGTTACTCAAGGTAGTAAATTGATTTTTTTTTTTTTTTTGGGTGCTAGTTGATGTTTTGTAGTGTCAATTACAGTTATAAAATTTCTAGTACGTGGGGTTAACTTTGCAGCTGGCTGGTGAGCTAGCAAGAAACAATTCTCTTTTATGTGACAAAACTTATTCCTTCCTGCTTGTTAGTATTTTTGAGATTCATTTTTTTCAATTTTTAAGTTGTTTACATCTTCTTGCCTAATTTTGCAGGAAGGCCAGCTCCTAGAAAAGAGCTCACCAATGAATTTAATGTTCTGGAGGCTGGTCTTTGGAACTCTGTTTCTTTGAACAAGGGTAGCTAACATTTAACCTTTAATGTATGCTTGGAAAGATATAAAGACACACCATTTAATCTAACTCTAATCTTCTCAGGGTGTTACGAAGGACGAGACGATAGCAAGACTCATAACATATGATGGAGTAAAACAAAGACTATGGGGAATTCGTCTATCAGCACCAGTAGAATCTGGCAGCACAATTATGGTTAATGAGAAAAAGGTTCTAGTTATATAGCCTCCCATAATTGCTTTCCAAGATTGAAAAGGTATACAGCTGATATTTCACACTCACCATGCTTCAAACC